GAAATTCATTTCTCCAAACGAAACCTGGTTGCATGGCATACCCCAAAAAGATACCTGGATTCGAAGTTGGATCAAACCGCAAATCTTTCTTGGGTTTAAGTTTCGGACCAGTCCAAAAGTCGATGCGAGCCCCAAAAGGAATGTTGGGTCCCTTGAATTTCTCCCCAAAACGAAGCTCCCACGGAGATAAGATTTCAGGGTGGTCCTGGATGTTGTGTGCCATACACCAGTGTCGTGCAGCATAACTCCAATAAGAATGGTGAAGCCCTGCCTGTTCGAGGTTAACTCTAGTCCCTTCGAGTACGGACCTGAGATTCCTCTCGGCGACTGCGTTCGACTTAGAGACATAAGCAACACTAGTGTTCTGTCTCCACCCAACTTCCCGACAAGCGAGCTTGATGGATGGCGCTGCATCGGAATAAAACACTCCGACTTCTTCACCAGGTGCAATGAAATGCCTAAAAGCTAAAACACAATCTTTGGCATGACTTCTAGCTGAAGGATAGATCCAACGAAAATTTGTAGCGACATCTTTCATGACCATAGCAACCCTGTCACCATCAATTGATTGTTCGTTGGCATCCCTAGTCACAAGATGATCCCCAGTGATGTGATCCCCAAACTTGTTGGATTCCACAGTCAGAGATTCCCCTTTGCTACGTTTAGTAGGTTTGTACATCTTAGCACATTTGCATGTTTCACAAAAGGGATTCTTTGGGGTATGTGTCATCATGTGCCTAAGGGTCCTGGCCTCTTCTCGAAGTGCAGCTTCACCACGATCAATCGCCTTTGGTTCAGGCAACTGAAGTCGACCGTCAACTGGTTCTTCAGGAGCTTCGGCTTCATCTTCCGAACCTTCGACAACGTCTGGTGTCATGGCTGCTGGCGGTCCGGGTGCAAGTTCACCAGGAAAGAATTCTTCGAGGTCGTCGATAGCTTGTCCGGGAATTTCATCGTCGTCAGCGATGGAAGCCTCGTAAGGTACTTCGACCTCCTCGACTTCATCATCGGACTCGGCACCGACGGCTGACATGCGAGACCTTCGAACAGGTGAGATGATGGGCTTGCCGTTCCCGGCAGCGGAGTTCCATGAAAACGGAATCCCTACTGCAGCGGGTACCTGGCCATCTCTGGATGGTAGATAAGGAACAAAATCTTTGACTTCAAGTTTGATCTTGGTTCCATCTTTCTTCTTGAAATATGGGCGACTAAAGCTTTTCCAAACAAAATCCCATCCATCTTGAATACATCTCATCCCTACCGATATTACAGCCGGGGTATCGGGAAGAACATATGGATGAACTTCTTTGTCGATGCAATCAATGTGAACAGAAGCTTGTTGGTCAGCTGATTGAGAACCATTTGCAGTGATTAATTCAAGGGGTTCATGAGAGTGATACACAATGTCATCGGGAATCATCTTGCTGCAAACTAAGTCCTGGGCACTACCGGTGTCAGCAATCCATGCAATTTCGGCGGATGCATTACGCTGCTGAGAAGGCATGTGTCCTGGCAATGCATTCAAATCGGAACGGATGCAGTGGCGACAGCCGATATCACTGTCACATTCAAAGCTGCATTTGCAAAGTTTGCCATGCAACTCCCGGAAGACAGCTGATTGCAACATCTGTGCTGCGAGTATTGCATCACTTTCTCGTGCTTCGATCGTATCTTTACGAGTACGATCGTCCTTGGTGATGCGAACTGGGTTAAAAGTTCGTTGCTTGGCTTGGCACGGATATAAATTACAATTTTGCTCAATGGGAACTTCGAAGATTTCATCGTTGCCCCCAAATGAAACAGTGCGATTGGGTGTAACTGGCATGGCAAAATGCTGGTTGAAACAATGCGGAGAGGCAATGCCTTCCGGCACGCGATGAGTGCTGGTCGAAGGGTTGACGACTGCGACCATCATCAGAGCGCGCATCAGGCAAACTGCAGCTGAGCCAGAGGAAGATGGTTTTCCCCCTTTGTCCTTGAGACTCTGTGAGCCTCTCGAGGAGTTGGAACCTCGACTTGACGATCTGGAGCGATCGCCCTTCTTCTTATTCCTCTTCTTCTTTTTCTGGCTCTTTCCACGCTTGTCATCTTTGGTAGATGCAGCTGCAGGCTTCGGTGGGTGTTGGAAAGCACAGTCATTACCTCGTTGACACTTACCTGCCTTCCAAAACTTACACACTTGGTTCCTAGATCCAGGAGACAAAGATCGACCATCGCCCCTAGACTTGGACCTAGATTTGCCTTTCTTACCTCCGCCTTTTCCTTTGTCTGCCTTTTCATGTCGGTATCGGCAATCCTTTCCCCTGGTACATTTGCCAGCCTGAAAGTCATAGCAAATGCCAGTGGGCTTTCCCGTGGATGTCGGCCTCGTGGGTGCTGGCGTTGCATCTCTTTTGCCTGAAACGGACTTCTTGGTAGCCTGTCTCATCTTCTCCAGACGTCTCCTCTCAAGGTAGTCCCTCGCAGCTTTCATGAGAAAATCATAAGAGCGGTTGGGTTCCCCCTCCGGTGTGCGATCATACACAGCCAGATCATGAGAGAGAGGCTTGAAGTTCTTGATGGCGTTGTGAAAGTAAGCTTGCTTCCACATCATGTCAGGCTCGGAAGTCATTCCAGCGATCACAGCGTCCCATCGAGTGATGAAACCTCTGAGATCATCATTGACTAAGGTAACAGCCATGAGGTCCTCAATGTCATACACTGCACCATGCTTCCTACTTGTACTGAAGTGTTTATGAATCATGAGCAATGCTTGACGTCCCCTAGCTGGTGTCCCTGACTTGGCTTGTTTTTCTTTAAAGATGTCAAGTTGCCGTGCAAAGTCCCCTTCGCAGATGTTGGTGAGCGAAGACATGAGCTTTGCGTCTAGGGTCACGAATTTACCTGAGTCCTTCAAGGCATCGGCAGACTGGTCTGTCCTGAACACTTCCTCCACCCACTGAAAAGCTAGGTCGGGTTTAGCAGAAGCAGCAATTATGGCATCCCTTACTCGGATTCTCCAATTTCTATAATTTTCGGGTTGAGGGAACTTAGGAACAAGGATCCTATCAGACTCTTTGGCCTTGGTATCACTAGTCCTAGAACGCTCCAAGGCCTTTTTGACCTTTCGGGTAAAGGAACTCTCAGAATCCGAACTTGATGTCGTAGGGGATGTCGATGATGAAGGTGAGGATGAAGGATCTCTTCGACGTCGTCGTCGCGAGCGGCCACGACTAGTCTTGCGGTCCTTCTTCTTGTCTTTCTTGTCTCTGCGACCTCTCTTGTCGTCAGATTCATCATCACCATCGTCATCTCCTGGAGGTCCACCGCCGGGTAATCCCGGTGGCTTCAAAGGTTCTGCCTGAAAATGCTCGTCGTCAGCGTCTGATGAATGCTGAGGCTTCTTGCTTCCCGAAGCTAACTCTACAATGGTTGGACCCTTGGGCTTCGAGGATTGTGGAATGGGTTTTCCGGGACCGTAACGGATCATGAGTCCAGGAGTTCCCTCCAGAGGTTGAGACTTTAGATTCCGGATGAACTCTTTCTGCTCCTTCCGAAGTTTCTCAATCTCCGCCTCGAAGTCCTTCTTCTGAGATTCGGCCAGCTTATGCATGTTCATAGCGTGTTGATTCATGGCATCAATCTGAGTGCGGTACTCTGCAAGTTCTGAACGTGCCGCCTGCAGATCAGCATTGGACTTCTCCGCAGACGATGTCAAAACACCTGCATTGTTGACCACGTGAGTCAATTCGGCACTCAGTTCCCTGATGCGATGATCCTGCGCTGTGACCTGCAGTTGAGCAGATTTATGCTCACTCATCGCCTGGGCGGCCTGCTCGTTCAACAAAAGGTTTCTCCTGGAAATTTCTTCGGCTGCTTGTTGTTCGACGCTTGCAAGTTGATCTCGAGCTTCACTCACAAGCTCCATACGTTGACGCTCCATGACCTCAGAGTGACGTACATTCGCCTCACTCTGCAATGCCTGCTGTTGAGCAGCCATGAGCTGGTTCGCCAGGTTTGGATCAATGCCTTGTTGTACCACTGCCACGTGGGCGGTACGCTGATCAACACTGTTAAAGTTGATGGTGTTGAGTTGGCTGATGTCAATGTTTGAATCCAAAACACCTGGCATGTTCCTGCGTGGATCTTGACGGCATGGGTCAAACTCTTCATCCAGATAACTCATGTCCCCTTCTGTAGTCGTAGCCGCACCTGAGTGGATCACCATTTCCTCCGGTTGTGATGTGTTCGCCAGTGCTAAAGCAGCCGTGGCGTTCCCGCCCGGGGCAGGTAACGCAGGGGGATTTGACATGGCGAAAACCTAGAGGAGAAAGAACGAAAAGTGCGAAACAAGGAAACCAGCGATCACCTTTGGCGATACGGCTGATAACCTGTAGAAATAGGCTAAGGGCCGTTAGTTACCACAAATACCCTGCGAATACGCCGCACTATTTCTTGAGCCATAGCATACAACAAGTAGAGGTGAAAACAGTGGTATATACACTAGGACTGTGCAACAACATATATATATATACTGTATATATAACATGTTTAGTCATTCTTTTTGTTTTTTTCTGCCGTATCTATAGATATGTACACGTACGACTAAAAAATGTGTGTACCCCCCAGTGGCATGGGAAGTATGGAGCGACTCCACCTGGGGTCCAACATGGCCCAACGATAATTTAACCGCTTTTGATTAAGGCGATTTTATATGGGATCATATTGGGGACATCATAGAAATGATATATGGCATGTAGGTTAATATGGGTACCCTCTGGTTATGTCAAAATAGCTATTGAAAATGGCCATAGAAATAGTGGATTTACCCATGACAAATGGTGATTTTCCATAGTTATGTTAGTTTACCAGAGGGTAACATGAATGTAATATCAGTTTCAGATAGTTATACCATGTTTGCTTGAACCCTTAGTATTCCAGGCAGTTGTGTGATAAACCGTTGAAAACAAAGATGAATGCAACTTTGAAGATGTTTCCCGTTTCCCCCATCCTTAACAACTCTAGGACTCCAAACGTCTTTGATTTCACGGCGAACAAAAAGCAGTCACAAGTTTCACATGCTTTCCGAATTCCATTTCATGTTTGTTTCATGAATCCGGGAAAACTGGGAAAACCCCACCTTTTCATCATGTTTTTCCACATTTTTTTCCGGGGAAAACATCCGGGTCGGTCTGCTTTCATCGGGGTGTCCCATGCCATCCACATCATATCAAGTCGGTTGTGTATATCCCATAAACGATCCCATATCAAGTACGGCGTAAATCATCTGGTCATATGAAAAAAACGTTGGTCAAAAAACTGGATGGTTCATTGGATTGGTTTAAGGGAAAATCTACAGGAAACCATGGTTTTTACCATCAAATATAGGGCTTTCCTGTAAATTTTCCCATCATCCAATTCTATGAATGGTTGGTATAGCTCATGGTATGACCTCATTAATCATTATGCGGGGGTCCAGCCAGCCCCCTTGAGCTGATTAGCGGCAGGTAAATCACAAAAAAAAACCTTCGGTGGTTTTTTTGAACCCATGATGGTTAGTGAGAAAAAAAACAATATACCCAAGATTGTGTTGGTTATATACCCCATGTCATCCCCATATCATCCATTTTTTTTCTGGTAACTCAGATTAAATGTAATATACACTCATATTGTTTTCCATTGGTTAATCAGCAATCTGTTATAAATCAAAAGAATGTTGTTAACTCATGATTTTTTCTGCTTCACTCACCATTATTTCTGGTTAACTCATGTTGATTCACCAAAAACACGGGAAAATCCTATGAAATCCCAATTTTCCATGGGTTAAGTTACCAAAAAAAATGGAAAATCCTATTAAATCCCCATTTTCCATGGGTTAAGTTAACATTTTTACTAGGTCAAAATCCCCGAAAAATCCCACCTGCTGCGCCTCAGGTGCTGTTGCTGCTGTCGCACGCACGAAGCAATCACCTCGGGATCCTCCGGCAACAGTGAGGCCAGCGCACCTGAAAACGGCACGCCACCGGGGGAAACGCCACCGGGTTTGTTGGGGGGAAAACATCTTAGGCTGCATGTGTATATATATATATATATAGACATATAGTTATTATAGTAATTATAGTAATTATAGTAATTATAGTAATTATAGGAATTATAGTAATTATAGGAATTATAGTAATTATAGTAATTATAGTATAGTATAGTATTATAGTATAGTATAGTTCGATAGATAGATAGATAGATTGATAGATAGATTGATAGATAGATTGATAGATAGATTGATAGATAGATTGATAGATTAGATAGATTAGATTAGATAGATTGGATTAGATTAGATTAGATTAGATTAGATTGGATTGGATTGGATTAGATTAGATAGATAGAAAGATAAGATGAGATGAGATAATATAAGATAGATAGATAGATAGACAGACAGACAGATAGATAGATATGCACATATGCATGTCTATATAATACATATATGGACAGATATATAGATTCCAAATAGATATACATGCAAAGCAAAAGGACTGTTATTGGCCCCCACCCCACCCCATGTTCAGAAAATGTACACGACTACACGCGCGGTTTCCACCCCGCTAGCATTTACATGTATACATATATATATATATTATGTATATATCTTTGTGTGTATTACCAACATACCATACCTAATATGTCGTGCATCTTGGGTTGGTGTTTGAGGTATTCGCTGGGTGTGTACACATTCTTCGCATCAGTCCTTAGCTGATAAATGACCTTTGAAACCACCAACAGGTGTACTTTCTTACTATGTTTAGCTACATGACTCTAACATATGCTACATCTACATAAAAACTATATGTATATAGTATATATATATATATATACCTACATAATAAAAACTACAGTATATGTATTCCACATATTTTTTCTACAAGCCGGTAAATCAGTAGTAAATGGTCCAGCCCAAAAGTCCATCTATGACTCATTTGGAGCAACAAACTGTAGTGCAATTATAGTGGTTGTCATTTTTCATCCCATTCATTGAACCTTGCATGGGAACTGGAAAAGAAGACGAGTGCAATCACTGGGTGATTCCAATGTAGATGGCCCCAAAAGGATGCTGGCTACTGCTGGCTGAGAATACCTCTATAATGATACGCTCTGCTACCAAGGGACCTTGAGAATTACTTGAGGGTATAGAAAAAAATGGGGATATACCTACCAGCAACATTCAAGTCAGAGCATGAGAAGCGTCGACATCGACAACAGCTCCACCACAATTTGGGAAGATAACCAACAATAAGAACTGCCTGATGACTTGGAGTGTCCAATTTGTAGGCTACAATCGTCACTATACTAATTCATGATATTCATGCGCTTAGAGTATCTTAAAGGATGGTTTTTATTCAAGCTGAAATCTACTGGCATGGTCAGTAATATTGTGGCCACACATGCCATCTAACCTGTGACTATGACCAACAAGGGTTTGGTGTATGTGCGTTTCCAAGTTGAAAAGTTGCTTTTTACATCTTATTCTCGATGAGTTTGTCTATCTGTTCATTTCTTCATTTAAGTGTATCTTACATATGAACAACATTTAAGATACTTCACATTTGAAGTAAAATGTACATTCAAATATCATTACCAATCTTAGATACCCTGCAAAAAATTAAATTCTTTGCTGGTTAGTAGATATTCCCATTAATACCAAAAGACTAAAGGATTAAAGTATCCATGTAAGATTGACCTAGATATGTATCTCACTAGTTGATCTCAAACATAATTAAGAAGTCGCATCCCGGGCCCCCAGACATGCCAGGAAGGACTTCCTGCACTCCACTCCACGGGCTTCGAAGTCCCACAACCTGGGACTTCAAGAAGCGCCAGGTAGGGGGGTGGTACCTAAAAAAATTGGGGAAACAAACCAGAAATTCTCGGGTAAAATTGCTAGCATCTATGAAATGGCCCATGTAAATCAACCATAATCAACCATAGTCTATCATCATGTTCCTGATGAAATGGCTATGCAAGTGGCTATTTCATTGGGGGTAAGGAACGGACATAGAAAAACGGTTGCGGACACCGCATGAAACCGCTGTCTCCCCAGCTGAGGACCTCGGCGACTTCCGTCAAAAATGGTCGAAAATCATCCAGGAGAATGGCTGTCGTTAATACAAAAAATCTAAGTTAAGACAATGATAACAGGATATTACCAGATAATTGTTAAGTCCTTCCATAATATTTACAATGATCTGATATGATCTGGTATTTCGGCATCTGATTTTTTTGGGGCAGGATGATCAACCATTGAATTTCTTGGGTATTTTCAACCATTGAATCTTATCAGATTTGAACGTATGGTACCCCAGAATTGTACTTTCTCAATGCCTCATGTTCCCTTTCAAAATCACTAAAAATGTTGTAAGTTGTGCTAAATCCCCCGAGTTCAGCTAAACCCATCCCTTGCCTTAATATGGTTGAACATGTTACCCGAAAACGCTATTAGTACGATAATATGTTGATATCTAAACGCACACATATTGAGATATTACCCTGACTTATACATATATATATATATACAAATATATATATATATCCAAATATCTATATATATACATATATATATGTACACAATATTACATATACAATATTACATATACAATATTACATATACAATATTACATTATGTATATATATATTATAACAACACTCATTTAGTCACTGACCCAAAGCCATTTAACCCTCAACGAGCAACGCATGGATCCCCTGCGACAGCTGCCGACTGTTGGCGCAGCTGCGAATGGTGGAGAGGTAGCTCAGGTCATCCACTGCCGACATGTCCTCGTACCATGACTTGAGCCGCAACCGGAAAACCATAGGAAAATGGTGATTTAATGGGATTTAATATGATTTAATGGTGATTTATATGGGATAGCCTCTGGTTGGTGGTTGAGCCCTACCCCTCTGAAAAATGATGGAGTGAAAGTCAGTTGGGATGATGACATTCCCAACTGAATGGAAAGTCATAATCCGTTCCAATGTTCCAAAGCACCAAGTATCATAGGGATGATTACATGATATTACATGATTGTGGATGATATATGATAGTTGATCAAATCATGTGGATTTCCCCGTTTCACCAAGCATATCTCATGGGCCATCTCACCATACCCCGCAAAACGACCATTTTTCAGCTTTTTCCCAAAACGGGATTGAAAGGTATGGGTGAATGGGTGAAAAATACCATCTTATACCGGTAGGATAGGATAGTAATTTAGTGTTTTAGGATTTTACTAGACCTTTTATATTTTTCAAATCACCCTAAACTATTGTGCATATTATCCAATCCTAAGCCACCAAATCAGGTGGCTTGCATTCTCAAAACAATCATATGCATGCATCAATACCCATGTTTGTCTATATTCAATCCGTGTTTATAGTCATGTAAAAAACAATAATCCCCATCATAATCCCCATCATATCGAAAACTAACTATCATAGAAATCATATATGTATATACATATATATATATTATAATCCACAACAACAATCATTTCATGAACAACGTTGATATATGGCAGCGTGTCAAAACCGATAGTACCCCTGTAGTTCACATCAAAATAGCTGGGATTTATGGATGTTCATCCCACTAAAAATGGTATTAATAGGTATTGATCCATAGCCATATCTCCGCATCCGATGTTTTCTCCCGCTCCTGAAGGATCCACAGAGCTTCAGCCCAGCTAGATGCAGATTCCATAGACCAAAGCCTGGATGGTTTTTTCGTGTGCCCTCGTCAAGTTGGGATGGATGGGATTTACACATGTATATATCATATATATATATAGATATATACATATATATATTATTATATATTATTATAATATATATATACATATATATATTAGATATATATATATATAAGATATATCATGTATATATAATATAAATATATCTATATATGTCAGGATGGTGTTTCAACCACACACCACTATATGATTTCGTTGGTTATAATCCATGAAATTTCACCCATCGGAGCCCGCTCCCTTTTAACGTTTACCAATGCCATGGGAATCCACTCAGCGGACGAGCCTCGGTTTCAATTAAGATGAAGATCAGAGAAAAAAGTTTGAGATAAGATCATAATAAGAATGAGATAATATTGAGATAGCATCAAGATCCAAACAAGATTGAATTCGGATTTAGTTGTGATAGTAATTAGACTGGATAGATTGGATGTGTATATATATATAAGATGTGTATATAAAACAGATACATGGACTCATAGATATATTATGCATAGCTATATGGTCATGACATACTTTGACTCTATACCGATGGTGCAAGAAACAAACACAATCAAACAACATGGTGATATAATGCATGAAACCAAGCAATCTATAACTGAAGTGTAAGCAACTAGCCTGATCAGAGAACACAGTGGCATATGAATATTCTTATATAACATATGGTGAGTATCCCAATAGCTGGATGGTTTATGATCGAAAATCCCATTAAAATTGATGATTTAGGGGTACCCCTAAACCCCCATATATAGAGAGAGAGAGAGCGAGCGCATTCCATGCAGGTTCCTCTAACGGTGGAAAATCCATTTTCCAGATTGTTCACCCAGTCATCTACGTCAAGGATTTCCAATCTTTTGCCAGCACCTCGTACTTCGATCGAATGGATATCTTTACCGACCCTCAAGTGCACCTCATAAATTATAAATTTATCTCCCCAGGCTGATTTTCTTGATGTTTGCAAGACATATGCTGGTTGGTGGTATACCTACCCCTCTGAAAAATATGAGTTCGTCAGTTGGGATGATGACATTCCCAACATGATGGGAATGTCATAAAATTCCATGGTTCCAGTCACCACCAACCAGTATAGGGTCACATATTTATCATATTTGAACCTGGCACCTTGAGCCGTCACCATGCACTGTATCGCATAGTGAAATCCCAAGATCCCTGGCTGGGCGGCGCCCCTTCCAGTTGCTGAGGCGCAAGGTTCGGTAGCTTTCCACGTCCAAGTCGAGGGCCGACGATGCCAGCGTGAAAATGGCTAGGGCCGATTCCTGGGAGTCGCTACAACTGCTTGAGAACACTGAGTCAGTGCTCTTCGGCAGAAAAACTGGGAAGATCATCTACCTTGCGATCCCAAGCCATGAAACCCTGGGGAAATTTAGGATATACAGAACTTAGATTACACAATTTCCCCAGTACCATCACTTCAGTTACGAAATCCTGCTGACCAACCCATACATCTCAAGACTCCCAATAGTTCGATGCTGAAGCAATCGCTGATCTCGCGATGGTGTTGTCCACCTCGATATGAGCATGAAGCATCATGCGTAAAAGTGTCCTGGGCCAGGCAGAAAATGCAAGGACAATTGTCACCAAACGAGGAAACATGTAGAAAACAGTGAAAACACTCAAATATAGCAGGGATTTAAGGATGTTCATTACCAGAAAATGTATGATATGATCATAAATGATACAGTAGGTTTGTTTCATCACGTTGGTATCCATAAAGCAGTCATCGACCTGTTGTGGGGAAAATCACGGGATAACCCATCTATTGATCGACAAACCAGTGGGAAGAGGACAGAAAAACGTCCTCAGCGCTTGAAGTTGATCAGTTGGGATGGGATTTTTAGCTATATAAAGCCACTAAAACCACCATCGGAAAATCTGTTTGTACAATGACTTTAAAAGTCTTTAAAGTTACTTAGGGATGTGCTGCAGAAGGGCGCCGCGAAGATATACGCCAACTTCCAAGTGGATTCCATGCCGCTGGGTGATTCGGAGATGGTGGATATGGTGAGTCCATGCAATTCACAACCAATCAACCGCTTTTTTTTTATTTCTGGATTCTATAGCCCAATGTTGATACTTCCACTAGGGTTACTCAACAAAAAAGAATGTTAGACCCCTGGTACCCTTCTGTTCACCCCAGAATAGCGATTTACAGATGTTCATCCTAGATATAAAGGTTTTAAATGGTTTTAACCTGTTTCCCATCCAAATGATCCCACATGTGCCATTACACCACCATTATTGGCAGAGATTTTCTTCAGTATTTTTGTTTGCATTCCCGCTGGCACATCTTTGCTGAGCATCGAAGCTTCCTCCCACCTTTGAAAGAACTCGCAGGAACTGAGAGCGCTGGCAAAGATCGCAAAACCTCGCAGGAAGTTGACACAAAGTGAAGCTTTTTTAGGATACCAACGGAAGGGGCCCCCCGCGAACGATACGACAGAAAATTGGCATTTACCAAGCAAATATGAGGAAATTCCTTGGATTTAAGCAACAAACAATTGGGACTTCTATGTGGCTGCAAGTGCTGAGTAAGTTGGTTTATAAATAGGGTAACTGTTGGGTTGATTTCATGGATATGTCCATGATGGCTGCAACAAAGCCAGCAGACACAGAAAAAAAGGTGCTCCTTCAGCCTGAAACAATGATCAAGCCTTGAAATTGGAAATGGAATCCACTAAATGAACATTCTCAAACAGGTCAGTGATGGTCACTAGTTCGTTTTGCTGGCCTCAGGTTGGCTGCAGGTCCAGTTCGGACCCTGTCCGTTAGCATTTCCAACTGGCTATGCCAAAATACTCCAGATATCTCCAATCTGTCTTTGCCAACACATCTTTCAGAGAAACCAAATCAAAATCATCCATGCCCCAAGCCTACTTCCATTCATTTTCCCAGCAATTTCAGTGCCGCCATATGAAGTTTCCCATGAAAAGACCTCGATTTCTTCAGATTTTCCTCTTCGAATCACCATGGCGTTCCATCCGCGACAGGAAACCCGAGAGATTCTTCGCCTCACGAGATCGTCCAAAAGATGGAGACTTAATTAGTGATGAAGTTATTTAACATTGAAAAAAACAAATCCGATTTGGGATTTTTGGAGCGCTACAGGTCACGCCAGGTCATGGTCATGTTTTTTTCACAACCCCATCGAATCGACATCTGGGGAGACTCTGCGGATCCGCAGAGAGTGCTGAATTCCTTTGGGACCCAATGTTCGGTGGTTTCACCCAGAGTCCAAACGATATCGTTTCACCAAGGCCATTCTTTTTGGGCAGGGGGATAGTGCAGGAAAATAGTCCTTAAAATATTTTTTGAACGACAAAAAAAAAGGAGAGTATCACCCAAGAGAGCGGTGGCAATTGGCACGACGCAACCCTCAAAGATCCAGATTCACAAAAAAAACGCTTCAAATGATTTGACTGCATCCCAATGTGTCGTGATTTTATCAGGATCATTGGGGGTAGTGAACCTGTTCCCCGACGACTTCTGAATCTATTGCTGTTCCATCCCCGAAAAATCCATCAGCTTCGCAAAAAAACACCGTTCCAGCCAGCTTAGATCTCTGTGTAATTTCCCATTTTCTCTTTGAGAGAAACATGTAAGTTTCTGGGCTAATCCTTTCCCCCCAATACTAGACACACCCCAGAAACAATGGTTTAGTGAGGGATTGACACATATTTGGGACCGATGTTTCATGGTGTTTCATGGTGTTTGGGGGATAGGATTAGTTGGTTAGTCATAAACCATGATATTGCCATCAAAAACGCACCATTTTTGGTTGAAAACATTAATATGCCCATCAATATATGGTGACTAATATCCCATTAACTGACCATTATATCCCAAACCATTCATATCCCATTGTCCCATGGGGAATTAATAGTGGTTCATATTCCCATTGATTACCCTCTGGTAAATTAACATAGACCCTGGTAGATAGGGATTATTAGTTTCCTCTAACAATTGGTGATTTTCAGGGTCTATGTTTATTTACCAGAGGGTAAATCCCCTTCTTTTCGCTGAAAACTCATGGCCGCCTGAGCTTCATAGAGGAAGTGTAGTGCCAAATCCCAGCGCTCGGAACGCAGGGCGCCAATGGTGGAGCTGTAACCTGCAGTCGGTTGAAGGAAGTAGCCAACCAACAAATCAATCTGGCTGAAACCTCCGGTGTCATCAACCGTGGCTGGAAAACCCCATTTATAAAGGCTGATTGATGGGAAAAAAAAACGATAAATGAGAAAACATGAACTACGGTATTTTTTTTTCTTCGGCCATTTTGGGATACGAACACCCTTGGATCATCTCAGTACAGTTGATCTGGTTGCGTGAGCCACCCTTCTGATTAGTCAGTCGATTGGGTTCATGATCCCATTTCCAGCTTGTCATTGCGATTGTATTTTGGGAGTTCTAGGAAATCGGGAAAAAATGGAAGATAATCTGCAAATTATCTACACATATCAGTTGATTATATATATATATACCTATTATTCATGGTTGAACCCCCTATATGTTGGTTACGCCCACATACCACCATTTTTGAGGGTTTTGAGGTAGGTCCCTGTTAGTGTCACAGGTTCGTGCTGCTTCCTTTGTGCGTATTTAGCCAAACACCTCACAGGTGACGCCCCCCAATAATGGATGGTTAATAAGACCTTGTTTGTGGATTGCCTGATATCCCCATTATATTCCCAGTTACAACTATAATAAATTTCAATACTATCAGTATTCCCATTGATACAAATATTGATGAATTAAATCAAACTATGTAGGGACTATGACTATATTTAGAAATATCAAATAGTTATTGTAATAGTATTGATAAGTAGATGTAAACTATTTAATAGAGATAAGCTATTGACTGTGATAATCTACTTCAAAGTGCAGGTTTCAGTTATGTGGATATGTGTCACCACAGTTATAGCGGCTCCATATCCCAAAATATGGAGGTTATACCCGTAAGAGTAACCTCAACTGCTTCCCAACAAGTAATATGAATTACGTCAACTTATTTGTAATATTGATTAGTAATCATTAGTAGGTATAAACTAATAGTGATTGATAAACCATGATTAACTGATATATACATATAACATATATATATATGTGTGTATGGTCGTTGATAAGCATGTCTAATCGGTAGAGTATCATGTTTATTATCTGGGACTTCCATAGCAAACTCTTACATCACCAGATAAGGTACTTGGTAGTTCATGCCACGAATCGTAAGTGGCAAAATGTTCAACCCAGTTATAAGTAGAAAATCACCCTACTGATCCCATTGCTAATTAGGAATATGACTCATTTACTAAATTGAAGTGGGATCAGCCACCAAGTGTATGTATATATATATATAACATGAAGAGTCAACTGATATATACCTACAAGGTGGTGCCCCCCCAGTTATAAGTTGGTTTATAATCCCCATTAACTATAGATAGTTCACCCCCTAATCAACTCTAGACTCTAGATATTGGACTAACATAGGCACCAACTTAGCGATTCCGAACTGGGGCACCACCTTGTAGTGTATCGGATGATAACATGTTATAACCCTCATAAATTGGGATATGGCCCCCAATGACATCATTTAATTGGGATATGGGCCCCAAAGAGTCAACTGATATATACCGAATAGCAAAGTCTTACATAACCAGATGGTATTAATTAACCTTAGGTCATCCAGATCCCCGTGGCCGCGGCACCACTTGCCGCTTGGCGCAGATCCAAAGCCGCCAGAGGTCGCGAGGAGTGAAACAAGGCCAGCGCCTGGACAAGGTGATGCAAAACATCAAGATATTTGGGGATGACATGTATATATATACACATAAGTATATTTACACATTGAACATGTTTGCACATGTGTATATATATATATATATACGAATGTGGGTGTATATATATATATGTGTGTGTGTGAACATGTATATCATATATATATATATATGTACACACATAAGTATATTTACATATATGTATATACATACATCAGTATATGTACGATATATATATATATATATATATGTGTGTGTGTTTTGTGAATTTTTGTGATGTGTATGATGGGTTGTAAGCAGGTGGCCATTGAAGATGCATACGTATAATCGTGCCCACGTATGAACACATGTCTATATGTATATAAATGCTCTGCCCTGGTGGCATTTCATTCATCTGGATTCTAAGGGTATACACATATGTACACCATACATATCAAGAAGAGAAAGATGCTGGAAATGACCGTCCTCTGGTCGCTGAAAATGAAGCCAGGATCCCCCCATCGCCCAGTTGGTAAACCCAAGTGACATGCTGAAGAAATGATGATCAAACTAATATGGAGTTCATTGATTTTAACATTCCCGGTTCAACCAGAAACTAGGGCCGCAATGGGCCGCATAGAACCATCATGTCTGGAATATCTAATTATCTATCTATCTATCTAATCTAATCCAATCCAATCTAATTTAATCTAATCTAATCCAATCCAATCCAATCTAATCCAATCCAATCTAATCCAATCCAATCTAATCTATCTATACCATCATTCTCTTCAGCCTAATGATGTGGCGCATCCCATGGATTCCACCGATGTCAGCATCCCACCTTCACCCAGTGCGCTCTCCCACAGGCACTGAGTGCAGCGTTGCTGCTCACCTTGGAAGCGCAAGCGCGGTCTGCGGTGGTTTTTTCTTGGAGAAATGGCGGAAACCAACGGAACTTGGATGAAATTAGGATTTAACCAACAAAAATGTGGGAAAATTGGGATTTAACCAACAAACATATGGGAAAATTAGGATTTAACCAAGAAAAATCTGGGAAAATTGGGATTTAAAGAACAACAAACATATCAGCACATGGATTGTCACAGAAATATGGGATGAATATCATGGGGATATCATGGGAATTTCGAAGAACCCATTTTAAATGGTTTGGATCTCCCAATTTACCGATGGATTTTGGGATGGAAATTTTATGGATTCCATCATTAGACATGTGGATGAATCATCGACAACGCAGATCGAAGATGATCGAAGCAACTAGCACTGGAATTGAAGCAACAACTGTTGAGCTGGTTGGTGGTATAGTTTCAACCCCTCTATAAAAAAATATGAGTAAGAGTCAGTTGGGAAGGATTATTCCATATATTATGGAAAAATAAACATGTTCGAAACCACCAACCAGTTAAGGATTTGCAGTGCTCAATCGAAGAAGAAGGATACTGGGATTGAACCAACAGTATCGCAATTGAACCAATACGAATTGGGTTAAAACATGGGTGGCAGGGATTAGGCCAACACAAGTGGTTTGAATCAACAAATGGAGACATGTAAGATGTGTATACATGTTTCGCATTGTGTAACAATGTACCCTCTGGTAAATTAACATAGACCCTGGCAGTCATCGGGGTTGGAAGACTAGTTTCCATTAAAAATTGGTGATTTTCAGGGTCAACAAGTTTATTTACCATAGGGTAAGTCAGAAACTTTTTTCGAAACATGACTTGAACAACACCTGACTCACGCGATGAATGTTGACACCCGGGTTCCGAGGTCCTCGGCCTCCGAGGGGCTAAATTCGAAGCGTCATGCAGCTGCAGCCCCTTTTCCCAGGATCTGCTACGGTTCCAGGCTGACACTTCCACCTACGGGCACGGCAGGGCCCAGCGAAATTTCACCCTAGAAATCCCAAGAAATGGTCATATCATGTCATGTCTAGTAGGGAAAACATCTGATCTAATCTGGGTTGGTGGTTTTTCGCCCTACCCCTCTATCAAAAATGATGGATGGAATAAGTTCGTCAGTTGGGATGATGAAATTCCCAATATGATGGGAAAGTCATTCAACATTCCATGGTTCCAGTCACCAGCAACCAGATAGATTGTTCTTCCAATTATTAACCATAGATTAACCATAGATTAACCATAGATTAACCATGGTTCCAGTCACCCTCCCAGGAATTCCAGTCACTGTCGCGGGATTCTAACGATTTCTAAGGCTTCCATCTAAAATGGGGCTACCGCTGGATGTTTTATTGGAAAATCCTACCCTAAATGGTAGTGACTATAAAACAGTTTTAGCGAACTTGAACATGATAAAATCGAAATAGTGGATTTACCCAATAAAAATAGTGATGTTAGCTTATAGTTTACCAGAGGGTAAAATTGATGATTTGGGGGTACCCCTATTTCAGGAAACCACCATATGTTTAATGGTCAAACTGTTTTCATTAACACCTCCATTCGGATATTTCGTGAATACCAAAATCAAACCCGATTTTTTCCCTTTAGCATTCCCCAGTTTTCCTATGATGTGGCTGGGAAACTCTGAATTATATCCCTATCAACATCCCATTAAATCACAATGTGTGGTAATTAAACCACAGTTTTCATGAAAACTGCCACGTGTTGATGGTTAAACCTGTTTTTTCATGATTCATGTCCAAATCTTCGGGGTCACACCCCAATGTTTCATAGTTCAATCATGTTAAATCACAATTTTTAATGGTTAAATTCCAGGAAAAATCCCAATTTTCCATGGTTAAGTCACCAGTTTTAGTAAAAATCCCAATTTTTCCGGGTGACATCCTAGTTACACCAGCAAATCTCCGGCTGAAATCGCCGCCCTACCGTGACGCTGAAGGCATCCGGCCGCAGGCCGCGAAGCGACAAGCTCTGCAGCAGCACCAGGGCATAGGGCCACGGACCTGTGGAGCACCGGACCTGTGGTGTTTCTATGTGGAAAATGTTGGAAATGTGAGGAATATCAATCTGATGAGATGTCCCAATAATTCTGTTGGTTAATCATGGTATTAACCAACAGTTTTTTCACCAACGGAATTCATGGAATATGGCTAATATTAGCCAACAATATTAGCCATATTCCAATATTTCTGTTGGTTAATCATTATACCGCCATAACCATTATTGTTAATTAATAGTCTAATACTGTTGGTTAATAGTCTAATAATATCGTTGGTTAATATCCTATTCCAATCTGACTGTTAACCAACAATATTAGCCACGATGAATCAACATGATTCCAATGATTGTGTTGGTCAACAGGTGTCCAATAATTATGTTGCTTTCTGTTGGTCATTCCAATAATATTCAACTGATATTCCAATTGGTGGTTAATGATAGTAACTTATTATTCCAATATGTTGGCTGACAGGGAAAATCGTAGTGGCTAATGATACTGGAACAGTCAATATTGGAATATGATAGTTGTTGAATAATCATTGATGAGTCCTCTTGTACATTATCGTTAATTGGCGTGAATATAAATCGCATGGTGATTAATGTAGATCGAAGGCTGGTTAATATTGAATTAATCATTATTCAGTAATATTAAAAAAGTATTGTCAATGATGGCTCATTGGTTTTCGGTAATATGGTTATTGTATGTTATTGTGTTGATAAGGACAGTTTTTTCGTTACAGAAAGGTTTTCACCATCCTTATGGGGATTTCTCGGTTAATGGTCAATCATAGCACGGCGAAAAAATGACTCATTGAATTAATGGTCAGTCATGGTGAATGCTTCAGCTTCAATGGGGGAATGCTTCAGCTCATTGAATAGTGCTTGAATAAGGCTTTTGATAGACGGATATGGAACTAATACTGTAATCAGAGCAGACTACTATATTTCCCACCCGCAAACACTATCTATATATATACTTATATATATGTAAAGAGGATATAGTTGAATCAAAACATACATAAACAACGTATTTCTCATGTTCATGCTTTGTCATATTGGATGGACATTTCTCATGATTAAAGTATAGTATCTCTAGAGTACAACGGCAAACGTATGCAAATAAGGCTATCACCAGATTCACAATTTCGAGATAGATATACATCCAAACACATGTGTGTGCGTGTGTGTGCAAATGCATTTGCAAATTGTGTATATATTTATAATATATATATAACTGTATGTATTGTAGATATGTATATATATATATAAGTGTATGTATTTGTATGTAATCAATCCTTCATTGATCCAAAACGAGCCCGACTCTCCGGAGAGGGTGAGAATTCAAAACCTTTGTGAGTTCAACTGCCCTCGGAGAGGCTCCGGAACCCATATATATATATATGTGTATGTATGTGTATATATAGATATAGATATATATATATATACATATATGTGTATGTGTATGTATACATGTAAATATGTATGAATGTATATATATATGATATATTCATAGAATATAGACATATTTCATAATGATACCAGCGGGCCTTGGGCAGTTGATGATGGAGTGGACGCCTTGACCTGACAAGATAACCACAAGGAGGACCCCGCAGTGATGTTCGTTGGTTTACAAATTTATAAACCTCATTTATAGGATTTATATCATGTGTGGTGAGGTCATTGCATTTGCCAAACACAAATAGATAATTACTATAGATTAATATAGGATATTATAGGATCATGAACCTTCCCAACCAAAGTTTAACCCCAAAAAAAAACAGTCGAGGCTTTTCTGAATCCACTCTGACATCATAACTTGTGCAAAATTGATCCCCAAGGAATCCGCCATTTGTCATGTAAAAAGGGATCCCCTACCCGTACCCTCTGGCAATTCAACAATTTGCAACCGGAAATTCACATCTTCAAACGGAAAATAATCGAACTTAATGGTCCATTTTCCATTGCTACGCAACACATTACCAGAGGCTAATTGTTTAGGTGTGCCTCAACCAAAAGAATGATCACCACATTCCACATACATTAATTATTGTAACCGAAAGAGAATATCATCTACTCACCACGTGGTGATGATAGCCTCGAGACCTGGAAAATCCCCGTATTTTGTAGGTAATCAACAACAAATCTTGGATTTTCTACAGCTACCCTCTGGTAAATTTGTTACATAGCTATTGAAAATGGTCATTGTTGACTTACCTATTAGACATGGTGATTTTCCAGTTCGCAAACTGTAAACGTTTACCAGTGTACCAATTGATAATCCTCAATTTCCGTTAAATCAACCATAGTTCTATAGCCTTCGTCCGTGACTAAAAACTGGGGCCGAAGTTAGCGCCAAACCACCGCTGTATCCGCCAGGCTGTGAAAGAGCACGGCATCGCCTTGGACATCTCCTTGGGAACGGGTCGAGGAAAGCCCTGTATTTCAATGGATTGGTTGGGAAAATCACCGGAAAGCCCATCGATTTTCCCATGAAATATATGGATTATGGGCTTTTCCGGTTTCAATTTTCCCTGAAAAACCAATCCATTGAGTATTTGAACCCTGCGAACCATGGTGCTGGAATATTTACCTACATGTGCCCTTGTCCAAAATCACCCAGTTTTGTAGGTAGATATACCGAAGGCAAGTTTTGGTAAAATATGGTAAGATATATGGAACATATATAGTAAAATCTGGTAAACTATGGTAAAATATGGTGGAATCTGGTAAAATATCCTTATTTCGCTGAGATTAAATGCATTATATTTTCATATATGGTCAGTATCTAGATATTCAGGATTGCTTCCAACACCCCACACCCCTAAAAAGTATTGGCTGGTTGGTGGTTTCAACCCCTCTGAAAAATATGAGTTCGTCAGTTGGGGATATGACATTCCCAATATGATGGGAAAAATAACAAATCTTCCAACACCAAGTGCCGAAATCTTGGGAAAATTGCCCAATTTTCCAAACCAAAGATCTCCGCCGCAAGTGCCGAAACAAGGACACAGAGAGCTGCCACAAAGATGTCACGCCTCGGATCAGATCATGTTCGATGCCAGCGCCGACACGAACTCCTGCAACTGAGGTCATGAAAACATCACCTAAATATACCTAAATATACCGGTATGTGCGCCAGTTTTAAGTCTTTTTAAGTATACTAAAGCCTTTTTTGAATGCTAACTCTATGAAGTCATCCTGGATCCCTTTTTCATTCGAGATTTACCTGGATCGACCGGCCTGGTTTCGAAGGCTCCAGGCATCTGCGACAAACGTTGAGGCTCGCATCATAGCTTACGGCCGTTGGGAAAACCTGCTGTGTACCTGAAAATCCAACGTGACAGGAGTTGGCAGTTACTAAGCTACCCTGCTGGATTCATGATTAGTGATTGTATATCTAATGGGTGAGTAATATATGGCGGGTAAGAATTTTATGATCTTAAAATGGGTGATTAGTATGATATAATATCGATTGATAACCGGTGAATAAGTAAGGCCACTTGCTATTCCCAGGATGTGCAGGAGCCGTGTCTCGGCTCCTAATGTCCAGTCAAAAGGCTCAACATGTATACAGAAAAAGAAAGAAATACCGACGGAGATATCTACCAGCGCATCATTGAATATAAAGGTAAGAACAAGAGCTCAAATTGAAAAAGAAAAGAACATATATTTGTCTATATATGTACATAAACATATTATATATGCATATATATATATATCTACATATATATATATATATACATACATATATATATATACATACATATATATATATATACATACATATATATATATACATACATATATATATATACATACATATATATATATACATACATATTTATATATATATATACATACATATATATATATACATCTATATATAGTAAACAGCTGGCACATAGAATATTAAAAAGAAATAGGTGCCACTAAGAATATGGAAAATACATAGCAAAACCTATTCCTGGAATGTCATCCACATAGAATATTTATCCACATAGAATATGGGGGTATATATATATATATTGATTTACCTTATCAAAATCTCAAGACTCTCCAAGCAAATCGTTGATCAGTGAAATCTAAAGTAAACAGTGCGGACATCGCCATGCAACATGATGGTTTGATTCATGATCAACTCAGCACATCTTTACAAGGTTTATATTCTATGTGCATCGTCTGTGGATATGCACTTAGAATAATGTTTTCACCCAGGAAAAATCATGTAACTAATAGACCTATTCGAAAAAAAAATGATTAATATTCTAAGTGCTAGCCAGTTACTATATATATATATTGTGTATATATAGAATACAGCAAGAAATCATGGTCCAATCCTTTCACGCATTGATTTAGATCGCGGCGAGCGACCCATCTGATTCAGAAGATCCATGGCAGTCTCCCAGGCTGCTCCCTTCCTCGTTGCTCATGCGGTCATGGGGACTTTTCCATGCTTTTCTGGTTGGTGGTATACCTACCCCTCTGAAAAATATTAGTCAAATGGGAGTATTATTCCCAAGACATGGAAATTCATAAAATTCCATGGTTCCAAACCACCAACCAGTTTTGATAGAAAAAAAAAGGACTTCAGCAATGGGAACCACTGTAGGAATGGGATGATAACAGGAAATGTAGAAGTTATCATCAACAATGGGATTAAACATGGAAGTCATTGGAGATCCATGGGTATCCATTCAAACATGGGATTCCAAACATAGTGGGTACACTATATAAATTCCTAAATCTAAATAGATTTGATAACCATCCCCTTTAACGGAAAATAATTCAATGTGTTGACCATGGCACATACGAAATGTATATAGAAATATCTGTCAGCTGGATACTACGTAGCTAGTGACAGTATCCACTCCAGATCACTGGAGCCTCATCTGATCAACTCAAATCTCATCCCCAATTTGCCAAAGAATCCACCTCTCTACAATTGGATTTTATCTGGTAATTAATCTGATCACTGTCATCTATAATCAATAATCAATAATCCAATCTGATCACTGGAGCCTCTATAATCTGATACAATAATCGTTCTCTATCCACACGTTACTGAATATTTCTTTCTTTGCTGGTTCTAGCCTCATGATATATCATGATTATATCTTATCCTGGTATCGAATTCCCGGAGCTGAAGTAAGGTCAGCCTGATGGTGATATCGCTCCAACTCATCAGCCATTGAGCTACCCTTCGGTGTCAATCTTAGCTGGGAAATCCGAGAAAATCATGGGCAAATCAATGAGAAAATCATGGGAAAAATCGGAACATCTCTTTTGAAAAGTCCATGATAAATGGAAAATAAAAACATGATATCCCCATGACATTCCCATTCTGGTTGGTACCCTCTGGTAAACTAACATAACTATGGGAAATAACCATTTTTAATGGGTAAATCAACTATAAATGGTCATTTTCAATAGCTATGTTAAATTACCGGTTGGTAAATCCCCATGAGATTCCTATTCTCTTCCCTTAAAAATCCCACCATGTTCCACCAATGGTGCGGACCAACGTTGCCACCCAGCGTCTCACAGCATTGAATGGCTCCCGTGAAGCTGATCACGTCCGCACTGACGGACGCGCCATGCCGTTGGAAACGTGAAAAGAGACGCCTACGACCCGTCAAGGGTCAGCTGAAGCACCAACGGTTTTCCGGGTGAGGTCGAGGGGAAAACGCTTGGGTTATGGGTTGAGTTTTAAGTAACCCCAGACCCCATACCCCATATGCTCCATGTATAGAATATTTACCTCCATTTGGGCCATTTTTGGGGTAAATGTAGGTAAATATTCCATGCATGGAGCATATGGGTACTAATTGAAATATATAGTATACATATCCCCCATACCCCTGGCACCCCGAAGTCATGAATTTAGGATAATTTAGGTACATTTGACCACATCGTGGGAGATGAATTCTGGGCTTTCCATTCTACTTGGGGGGACTTTACCAGCCATCCAAGGCATCCAAGGCATCCAAGGTACAGTGCCAAAGACCAGATCTCCTTCTTGCGACCTCAGACTTCGATCAATGGGAGATCTCCAGGATCCAATTGATGGAGGTACGTAAACGTACCATTTTTCAGGCCATATTTTGTGGGGATATTCTCTTACATAGGCCTGAAAAATAGGCCTTATATATGGTAGGTACCTCCAATTTAGGATCCTGAAATGGCCATTGATTCGATGGGGAGTCCAGCAGCAAACATAGGAACCGAAGCCCCACCTTTTTAGTGACCATGAGGAAAAAACAATAGCGGGATATGGTTCCACGTTCTGGAACAGGAAACTTAGAGCAGCGGCACTTTGAAATGTGCATGCAACTCGTCTCATTTCAGCATTGATTAATTTTGACCGCAATGATTCCAATCATCTTTAGCCTGCCTATGTCTAGTCCTAAGTCCGATGGATGTATAGAAGGGAAAAGTTACCATTTCGACTTGTTGCCACCCAATGATTCAGTGAATTCAAACTCCGCAAGGTTTTACAAGAGGTGAACTTACAACGCAAACGACAATCGAGATTTCGATGGATTTCGAGTTCAAACTGTCTGGCTATCATACAAGTAGAGACTACACATTCAAATGTATCCTCAAGAACAGACTCCCAAAATGGGATCATTTTGTGCAGGACATTTGGATGCAGCAAGACAGAAAAAAAAGAACGCATCTGCAATTCCAAAGTCAAATCCCATCTGTTCCATCTACGTTATACTATAGACATTTAATTTATACAGAGCCCAACACATGCATGTCCCCAATATTAGGAGGTTTCCTGAAATAAGGATACTTGGATACCCCTAGTTACCCTCTGGTAAACTAACATAATTATGGAAAATCACCATTTTTAATGGGAAAACTCACTATAAATGGCCATGTTCAATAGCAAACTGTTAGTTTACCAGAGGGTATCATCCATTTTTGTTTGGGATTTTCCCATGGAAATTTGCACCATCCAGCGATGAGCCGGGGTACCCCCATGACTATGGAACCCCCCATGACTATGGAACCCGCCGGTATCATCTACAAGGTGGTGCCTCAGTGATGTGAACGTTGGTTCACAAAAAAAAAAACATAGGAATAGTATAGATATATCTACCATAAACATCCATAAACCATAGTGAAATTGGATAGAATTATAGATATATCTACCATAAACATCCACTTTCACCATAGTGAAATTGGAGTTATGTGAACCCCAAGTGAACGCGATTTGCCTCACTGGGGCACCACCGACAGTATGATAATCCACCGGGGTCGATCGCAGCTGTTCGTATTGATCCAAGCATCAGATCTTCAGAGCCTTGCTGCACTTCACGTTCGACACTGGTCGCGCATGTTCCAGGTCCTGCCCGCGTCGCTTTTTGATTTCAAAGGTTGGTCGAAAGAAAATGGGGTTAAAATCTGGAGTTTACCAACAGCAATGGGAATATGATGGGGATACCGAACATAAACCAACAGTATGAAATTTGGGTGTCACTGAAATTGGGGGTTAATCCCCCCAGTTATGGCCCGTTTTCACCCTGGGAAACTGATGACAAACCAAATGATTCCGGGGGGTTCCTGTTGGAACACTCCCGCAGACACTGCTAGTCCTATACGGGAAGAAGCACCATGAGCTGGTATTCCCAAGTGCTTCCCTGGGGAAAAGTAACATTAAGATGTGGAAAACCCCATGGTGTCCCATATACGAATGGTGGATTTTCCACATCTATGTTACTGGTTGGTGGTATACCTACCCCTCTGAAAAATATGAAAGTCAGTTGGGGTTATTATTCTCAATATATGGAAAAATAAAAAATGTTCCCAACCACCAACCAGGTCATATAGTTTATTGGAGGGTAAGTACCCTCTGGTAGTCTCACATAGCTATGGAAAATTTCTCACACTTTTCATCCTATGACTTGAACCATGGGATAGGCGATGTGGTGATACTGTCCACAAACACCTCGCCTGGGATGGTTTACGTTTTTGCAATAAGTGTACTAAACCGAACCAGTGGGAGAAATATCATGAAATATCATGAAATAGCACTTTATGTAGACCTTAAATAATGAGGACCTTTGATGATAACCCCCCCCTTTTTGTCGGCAATGGCTGCGCTCCTGCCACAGCTCTCGCACTGCCGGCGGCCATCGCATGATGAGCTGCCGGCGGCCACCGCATAAATGGGGGATTCGCATATGGATGGTTTATCTCATGGAAAATCCCAAACACACATGGATGATTTAGGGCTACAAAAAGTTCATGCTCCAGTTCTGCCTCTGATTCTACCGAGCCAGCCCGAGGCCTGGGCAAAATGGCTTCTGATGGCTTCTGGGTTTGGGGGGTGTTGCATTATATATATATTATATTGTATTATATTATGTATTATATATATATATTATTATATTATATTATATTATATTATGTTATATTATATTATGTTATGTTATATTATATTATATTATATTATATTATGTTATATTATATTATATTATTATGTTATTATATTATATGATATTATATTATTATATTATATATATTAATATATATTTATATTATATTATATATATATTAATATATATATATATTATTATATTATATATATTAATATATATATATTGTAATGTATATATATATATATATTATAATGTATATATATTATAATGTATATATATTATAATGTATATACATTATATTATATATATATATTATATGTTATATTATATATATATATTATTATATTATATTATATTATATTATATTATATTGTATTATATTATATTATATTATATTATATTATATTATATTATATTATATATTACATATTATGTATATATATATATATATTACATATTATATATATATTACATATTATATGGATTCACGGTTAACTATGGTTTACTGCAATGATTGTCTTGGCCATTGTGGCCAACATGCTCCAAGGCATTCCGCATAGGAGGTCGCAGAAGCAACCATAGCCTCCAGCCCCGAAAAGAACTGTCGCGATACACATAGCTGTTCTTTGTCAAGAACAGCCGTCAGGGTTGCTCCCAACAGCCAGGATACGGGGGGAGAAGCTACGCAGCTACCAGCTACCAGTTCCCCCTTGTGCAACTCCCCGGGAAACCTCAAAGACGCTGTAGAAGTTCCTAGGTGCGCCGAAGGTGCGTCACGTGGGATGACGACACCCATGGGGATAGTGGTGGAAACCTGTGGAAAAGATGCATTTTTGATGATCAGGGTTTAAACCTCAGAAACAAAAACATCCAGTATACCTCCCAGTTCTGGGCATAGAAGAAGGAAAATGATGATTAACCAATGGATTCTGAAATCATGGGGTCTCCAAACTGACTAAACCCACCTGTGTGGTAAACCATGGTAAAGCCGCCATAAAGCCCGTTGGATCTGGGGTCTCCGCACTCAGATCCACCTAGGGCAACGAGGCAATAGGAATTCGTGAGACGCGAGAAAACGCCCACCTGCAGCGGTGTCACGTTTTTTGCGATGGGCCATTGGGGCAGGGGATGGTCATTGGATATAAGTGATCCATAAGGTCCATAAGTATCTGGACATTCAACCATGAACAACAGGGATTGTTTCATACTTGGTGGCTCATCCCACTAAGTGGATTAACCCCAACTCTAAGTGGGAAAACCCCATAGCGGTTATAACCCACTTACGAGCCATGGGATGAGCCACCAAGGAAGTATCTGGACATTGAACAAGTCCCGTAGCAATGAGACCCATCGTAGTGGTGCGCCATCACAATATCCCCGCAATGCTATTGATTGAATAAGTCGGTTATGTATCAATATCCCCATATGGAGGTTTCCTAAGTCATGGGGGTACCTCCAAGTTTCATCCATTTATAGATGGATTTTCAATGAAATAAACCATCATATCCCCATATCTATGGGTTTGTCTGAAAATGGGGCCCTTCATATGCTAATCTTACTAGTGAAAATGTTATTTAACTATCAAAATTCGGGAAATCCCATTTTCAGACGAAATCATATGAAGTCATAGGAAGTCAGATTTTCAGCCCCAGTTGAGTTGTGTTTTTTTTTTCTGATGTAGGGTGTTATCATTTTATAGGTACCTACGCGAGGCTTACATTTCGCGTACGCGCGCACAATTTCAGCCTACGCAGAAGCTTGGGTGGGGATAGGTTGCCTACGCAGGCCTACGCGCGTGAGGTTTTATGTAATTTTTAGCTAAATATGCCTACGCGCCCACAGTCTCAGCAACATTTTCGTATGATTGCGCGCCCTTTTACAAAGCTGTTCATGATCCAATGATCGCATTAAAAACAATGAGGAAGAAGAGGGCCATGTGCTTATTCATTGGTTGTTACATAGTGAGAAGACATTGGGCAACTACCTATTTCGCCAAAAATGCATCGAGCACGTTGAGCGTGCGTTTTTTGTCCAGTCCGCAGATGACTCAAACGAAGAGGAGGAAGAGTAACTCAAAGAAGAAGAAGAAGAAGGAGAAGAAGTAAAAGAAGAAAAATGATTCCGAGGTGGAAGACGCTGGTTCTGCCGTCGCTTCGTGGCAGCAGGGAAACAACATATAATATTATACGTTGCAGGAGCATGTTTGGGGGCATCCCTGGTCATGAGAGTTTTCGCCTACGCGTTGCCTACTTTTCGCCTACGCGGTGCCTACGCGGGGGAGCTCCTTTATTTTCGGATTTTGGCCATGCAAACTTCGAGGCTTGAGACTCTGCAGAAAAGGGAACGGAATAGTTCCATTAGCTTTTGTTTCTCAGCAAAACAGTTGCTATCTTCTAATTACTTGTGTTTTTTGGACAGCGGAAATTTCACATGCCGCATCGAGCTACACTCATTAGACCCTTCAATCTTGACCCACAGGCTGCAAAATTCGTCGAATCCGCGGTCGCCTACGCGGCGTCTGCCGGAAAATGAAGCAAAATATGCCTACGCCAGCCTACGCACCCCAGCAAACTGCCTACATCCAACCATGTGCAGGTCAACTTTCATATAAATCTTTACTTGTAAAAAAAAACTCTGCTCAGTTGTGTTGATATTCTGCTGATCTTCTGCGTCCGCATCTCCCATCTTTGCTGTGAAACCCGATATTTCCCAGGGCCCCAGGACCCAGCCATGCCTCGTTACTGTTTTCGAAGGAGGCACGTACCGCCATCAGGCGGAACGCTGCAACGAAACAAATGACCTGTTTCCGAAGCTGAAAAAAGGCAATGGGTCCAATGTTCGTATCGTGGTTTGAGGGTCTGAAAATGGTTTGTTGAGGGTTGATTGAAGGGTTGATGGAAGGGTTGATCTAAGGGTTGAATGAGAGTTGATCAAGCGTTTATGAAGGGGTTTTTAAGGGTTGATCAAGGGTTGACTAACGGTCGATTGTGGTTTCTGAACAAAGGTCTCATGGATATATAAATCGAAGATTTGACCAGCAAAAACTAAAATGGTGGTTAAAATCAAAAAACAAGTTACCAGTGACCAGTATATACCAGTATAAAATGGTATATTTCATAGTTGTTCACCCCTTTATTTCGGTGACCACCATCAAACTTTATGGTTCTTCAGTCGGACGCTCAACGAAAAACGACCAGCTTTGTCAGCAGCAAATCATCATTGATCAGCCATCCGGATGATACCCGGATCACATTCACCATATAGCTCCAGTAATATCTTGCTAGTTGACTAGGGGATTTTTGAGATAACACGTAATTACCATATAGTAATATATATATATATGTATATATTAGAAATTGACTATAGGGTAATTACAATATATTACGATATTGAAATTCCCTAAGATATTGGTAAGATATTCCCCTAGTCATATGGTATTCTGAAACATAGCTAACTCAGGACTTGAATTGATCATTCGGATCCTTGCGGTAATGCTGATCCTTGCTACTAAACGAAGGGATCAAATGGGATCAAGATCCTTTACCATCTGGTTATTTGTTACAGTTCGCGAACTGGAAAATCACCATCTTTAAGTTCGGTAAACCATCTATTTCTATGGGCCATTTTCATCCATTTTCCATGGCTATGTTAGTCATAACCAGAGGCTAATTTTGCCAGGATTTCCACATGTTCATCCATGTTCAAAAGATGATTTGTGGATGATATAATTGATGATTCTGATGGACATGATCAATCACGGGATTTGGGGGTATATGGTATACCCTCTGGTAATTTAACATAGCTATTGAAAATGGCCATTTATAGTGGATTGTCCCATTAAAAATTGTTATTTTCCATTGCTATGTTAGTTTACCAGAGGGTACCCATTTTTCAGACTCACCCATCTTATGCAAGAAACATAATGATTATAGATCAACAAATCCAGTTATCCAACGTCTTTCTTGATGATCAGTATTTGATGATCAGCATTTGATGGTCGTCATCTATGATCAAATTGATCAAATAAACCGGTACAGCCTGTAGATTATAGACGTATTTGTTGATCACTAAGCAGATATGTTATATGATTATATACCTTCTTGCACAGTCTTATACAGTAGATGTTTAATGATATTTACCTCTATATATATATATTATATTATATAGTATATATATATATTATAGTGGATGTATATATATATGTGCATCCGGTACAGTGTGTATAGATATGTTGATTAGATATGACATCCCCTTCCACGTTGCGCGTGTTCGACGAAGCCAGCCTCCACAGGTGGATTCTTACGGATCTTCGACGCTCCGCGGCTGCAGATGGAAAAAGAAACAACGGCGCTTTGGTGCAGGACAGGATGAATCAATGGAGGGCTAGTACCCATATGATATATGTATATATGATGGATAATATATAGTATATAGTTATTCATGGATAATATATGATAATATATAATACTTATGGTATATGATATATGATGGTAGACCCATATGCGAACTATGGTGCTGGTATATTTACCTACAAAAATCGGGTGATTTTGGACAAGGGCAAATGTTGGTAAATGTTGGTAAATATTCCGGCACCATGGAGCATATGGGAATAGTAAATAATGTTCAAATGCCAGTTGTGGTTGGGATGAATCTCAGTGTTTTTTTGGTTTTTTGGATGTATCTTGTTACAAGATATTAGAAATCCGCCCCCGTTGGGGTTGATCAAGTCATATCACAGTTTCCAACCATAGAACCTGAGGCTGGATCTTCACAAAGC